CCCCCCCCAGAAATTTGTCTGGTTCCTTATCCCTAGTATTTCTAGTTCCCTTAGAAGATAATATAAGGGAACTAGAAAAAATAGTTATAAGAACTAGGGATAAGAAAGCTATAATAGAATTATAAGCAAGGAGGCAGGAACTGGAAGGGATTTATCTGGAAAAGGTGCAAAGAAATGTAATGTATTTAAAAAGTGAATGTTTTGAATTTAGTAATAGGAACTCCAAGTTATTAGCTAAAGTGTCTTCTACAATAAAAGAATAAAGGTAATATAGGAGTAATTCAAGATCTGAATGGAAAAAGATGTAACAAAATGAACGAGAAATTGGAAGCATTTCAAATATTTTATAAAATTTTATACACTAATAAAAATCCTTCTATAATTAAAATTGAAGATTATATAAAAATAATTTTAATAAAAAATTGTCAGATGGCGATAAAAAAAATGGAACAGTTAATTACTGTTATAGAAATAGAGGATATTATAAATAATTTAAAGACAGGAAAGACCCCCAGAACAGATGGATTAGGTCCAGAATATTATAAAGTATGTCAAAAGACTCTCATACCAAAGTCAAAAGTGTTATTTAATAAGATATTAATGGGAGAAGAAATACCACAATCTGGAAAGAGTAATTGATTGTTTTAATATTGAAACCAGAAAAGAGATTAAATAACTTTATGGGGACTTGTATTGAAAAAGATCAAAATGGATTTATACAAGGTAGACAAATGTCAGATTTAATGAGAAGGGTACTTAATTTAATGCATTTAGCTAAAGAAATTAACTCTAAAGCCAGAGTACTTTCATTAGATATATTTAAAGCATTTGATTCAGTGGAATGGGGTACGTTAAATCCTTTAATTAAATATTTAGGATTTGGACCCAATTTTAAGCAGATAATTCACCAATTATACTCACAGAATATAGTTAGAGTAATAGTAAATGATGGAATAAATGAGACGATATACCTAGGTGTGGTACAAGACAAGGTTGCCCCTTATCTCCAGTATTATTTACATTGAATTATTGGCACAGATAATTAGAGATGATAAACAGATTACAGGGACTGAACATTAAAAAATGGTAAGATAAACTTGTTTACTGATAATGTATTATTAATAGTTAAAAATCCAATAAAAACAACAGAGACCTTAATCACATTTGGAGGAATTAGAGGATATAACAGAATTAAAAGTACTGTAAATTGAGGAAAATTAGAATGTTTATTGTAAAACCACCCAGGAGAAAGGAAGCATGAAAACAATACAGTGGTGCCCCGCATAGCGACGATAATCCGTTCCAAAAAAATTGTCACTATGTGGATTTGTCACTATGCGGGGCAAAAAAGCCCATAGGAATGCATTAAAACATGTTTAATGCGTTCCTATGGGCAAAAAACTCACCGTTATGCGGAAATCCTCCATGGGGCCGCCATTTTCGGTGCCCGGTAAGCGAGGAAAGGGCGCGAAAACACAGCGGGCGGCCATTTTCTTTACCTGCCGGCCATTTTTGAACCGCCGATCAGCTGTTAAAAAAAACATTGCTATGCGAAAATCGGTAAGTGAAACGCTTACCGATCATTGCAAAGTGATGTTTTACCATTAGAAACATCACAATGTGATCGCTTTTGCGATCGCAAAAAACACATCACTATGCGGATTTGTCGTTAAACGAATCGCTCGTTATGCGGGGCACCACTGTATTTGAAGGAAAAATGGGAAATGTTATTAAATATTTAGGGATTAATATTACCTGGAATTTATGGTATATAATTAAAATAAATTTGGATAGATTGAAAAAAGAGATCATTGGAAGGATAAAAGATTATCAGAAATTAAAGATTTCCTGGTTTGGTAGAGCAGCATTATGTACTGTAAAATGAAAATTATTTCTAAATTAAACTTTATATTTTGGATGCTTCCTATAAAGATTACAGAGAAACAATTGAAAAAATGGCAGATAATGATAAATTGTTACTGTAATAGAAATAAACTAGTGAGGATTAATAAGAAACTATGGTATGTAACACAAAAAGGGAGGTCTTGGATTATCCAATTTAAAATTACATTATATAGCAAACTAACTTAGACATATCCCAGATCTGATTAAAGGTAATAAAAACTTAATCTGGACAGAAATAGAAATGCAGAATAAGGAAGAAAAAATTGAAAGTACAGTGGTGCCTTGACTTACAACCATAATGCGTTCCATAAAATCGTCATAAATCGAAATGGCTGTAAGCCGAAGCAGCATTTCCCATTGAAATGCACTGAAACCAAGTTAATCCTTTCTGGCTGTTTTTTGGTTGTACAATGGTGCCCCGTTAGACGAGGAAATCACTTAACGATGAAGTTTTTGCGATCGCTTTTGCAATCGCAACATGATGTTTCAATAGGGAAAAATCGCTTCACGATGATCGGTTCCCTGCTTCGAGAACCGGTTTTTCGCTTAACGACGATTATAACAGTTGATTGTCAGGCTTTCAAAATGGCCACCCGCTGTGTAAAATGGCTTCCTGCTGTGTTTTAGGACAGATTCCTCGCGTTACAGGCACCGGAAAATGGCCACCCTATGAAGGATCTTTGCTGGATGCTGAGGTATTTTGCCCATTGGAACACATTGAACCGGTTTTCAGTGCATTTCAATGGGATGTTTACTTTCAGTTGACGACGAGTTTGTTCTACAGCGATTTTGCTGGAACGGATTATCCTTGTCAAGCGAGGCACCACTGTATATGGAGGTGCCAGTTGCAAGTTGAAGCATTCGTTCCCAAGGGAAGTAAAGCAAAAGCAGTTAATCCGTCCTCTACCACTAGGGGGAGAATTTTTCTTCTTTCATTTAACCTAAGATGACTTAGGTTAAAAAAAGGGCAGGAAAGGAGGGAGGGAAGGAACAATGGGGAAAAGAGGAAAGAAAGAAGGTCATCACTGGGGCACACAGACCCGTTTGTGCTGTTAAGCACAAAAAGAGAAGATAGATAGATAGAGAGAAGACAATGGGAGGTGGGGGGGAGAGACTTGAGTCTAAACCCCGTTTTACACCATGCCTGCAACCACATCCCCTCACATAAAATTTTCTGATTTTAAAACAAAAAGACTTTGGAGTCACATTTTAAATCCACACATTTTAAAACAAAAGAGAGGTCACAGTACACCCTAGGCGCCACAGAATGCAAAAATAAATAAATAAATACATTTTACATTTTAAAATTACAGTCTAATTTTCACATTTTTCCCACTGCGGTATCTTTGTTGTGAGATCTGACCTTCGAATGACTCTGAACAACCCAATTTAAAATTTTATTATATAGCAAACCAATTTAGAGATATCCCAGATTATTATTAAACGTAATACAAATTTAATCTGGATAGAGATATAGATGCAAAATAAGGAAGAAAAAATTGAAGTATATTGTTAAAAGAAAAGATTGGCAAAAAGATTAAAAAGACTACTAACCCCTTCCTTAAAAATATGTTAGAAAATTGGAAAAAGTTTAGAGGTATATTGAGTCCACCAATGTCTCCATTATCCCAGGTTGTGGATTTAAAGAATTTTCCAGAAAATCTTAGAAAAACTCTTAAAAATATATATATAAAATAAAGGGATAAATAGGATAAAAGATTGGATGGAAAGATGAAAGATAAAGGAAATATAAAAGAGATTTTGAGGGGAGAGGGGATTTCCTGGTTTAATTTGATTCAAATAGAAAGGTGGACAAGGGAATGGAAAAGTAAGGAAGGAAAAAGTAGAAAATGACAAAATTTGAAGAGGTCATTGAAGAAAGATTGAAATTAGATGAAAAGACAGAAAGGGAACTGTTAGTTAAATATATAAATTATTAATGCAGGACAAACAGGATAAACAAGGATTAAAAGCACAGTGGCAACATGATTTGGATAAAGAAGCATTAGAAGAATGGGATAAAATGTGGGACCAAAGAATCATGAAGATCATGTCTGTAAAGATAAAGGAAAATTGTTATAAAGTACTGTACAGTAATATGGAGATGGTATTTAATGCCAGTAAAACGGAATACTATATAATAAAAATGTATCATCACTATGTTGGAGGTGCAAAAAAGAGAAGGGGGCGTGCCTACATATGTGGTGACTATGTGAATTAAGAAAGAAAGAATGGAAGCAAATTTTTAAAGAAACAAGGGAAATAACTGGATTAAATATTTAAATGTCCCCATCAATGGCTTTATTGAACATGGTTAAGAAAGATCAAATGTTGAAAGAAAATATGGATTTAATTGTAATAATGGTTACAGCAGCAAGGTTAATCTTTGCAATAAACTGGAAAAATGATAACCAATTCAACTTAGAGGAATGGTACAGAGAATTATGGGATATAGCAATTAATGATAAATTGACATGTGATATGAAAAAAAGGAGAGGCCTATCAGAAAATAATGATTTTAAGAAAATATGGAGTGTATTCTTGGAATATGTATTTCGGAGAGGGAGCCGAGGCAATGAAGTTTTCGAGAGAAAACGGACTGAATGAATTAATATAGTGAAACGTGTCTCTAGGACTTGAGAGCAAGGGCCAGAGAGCACCTTCGCTACCCCAAGGAGACATTTTCCCTCTTTCCAATTTGCAAGAGCCATTTCCGACTTAATAGAGGTTATAGTTAATACCAGCCCTGAGGGTGAAGGTGGCACTGGTGTTTTATGTGTATGGACAGTACAGTAATTGTATTTTAGGTTTATGTTGTGTAGATTGGATGTTTGTTTAATAAAATAAAATAAACTATTAAGTCGGAAATGGCTCTTGCAAATTGGAAAGAAGGAAAGTGTCTCCTTGGGATAGCGAAGGCGCTCTCCGGCCCTTGCTCTCGAGTCCTAGAGACACATTTGTTGGCGTTAAGCACCGCTCCATCCCGTCCCCTTCATTCAGGCTGGGCTGTGGAGCCGCACTACACTTCCCAGCCGGCGCTGGGAAGGCCTGCTCGTGACGTCAAGGGAAGTAAAGCGCGGGCTCCTTCCGGTCGTGCGTAAGCCCCGAGCGGAGCCGAGACCCAGCGGAGCCTGAATCCCGATAAGACAAGATGGCCGGGCTACCCCGCAGAATCATTAAGGTAGCTACCTCCCTCCTCCTCTTCCTCCCGCCGCTTCCCCTCCTCTTGCCCGGCGGCGGCGGGGGCGGCGGCTGGAGATGAGCCTCGGCGGCCTCTTGCCTAGGCCGTGGGGGAGGTGGGTGGGAAAGGAGAGCGCCGTGGAGGGAGCGCGGCGCTTCCGGTGAGCCGGGCAGGCGCTGCTCCCAGCCTGGCTCCATCGCCGCTGCGGGGCGCGAGGGGACGGGGCCCGGCGGCGGCAGTAGTGCTAGCGCTGCTTCCATCCTCCCCCTCCCACCCGCCCAGCCTCCGTGCCAGGCCGGCTCGGGCGAGTGACTGGCGGAGGCGCGGGTTGCCTGCCGGAGGGCGGTGGCAGCACCAGCGACGGGGCCTGGTAGCTTCTGCCTGCCGGGAATGAATGAGAACGGCGCCGGGCTGGAAGGCGCCCTCGCTTGCCTCTTAGCCCTCCCTTTCCGGGCCTCGGGTTCGGAGCCTCTGGCTTTTCCGCGCCCGTTTCAGCGCGGCCTGGGTCCCTCCCCGCGCCAGAGCCTCGGCGCCCCTCGTTGGCTCGCCCGCCCTTGGCTGCAAGCTGGCGAAGGGAAGGGAGGGGTGGCTGTCACCGGGCTCGGGCGTGCCTCCCTGCCTGCCTGCCTGCCTGCGCCCCCTTGCTCGGCTGCCAGTGTATGG